GGGGGGGGGGGTGTGTCACCTCCCTGCACTGCTGCTGAGATGCAAGGCCTGCCGCTTGCCCAACCCTGCCCATACACACACCTGGCAGTCGGGCACGTGCCCCGCTGCTGCTCTCCACAGCAGTGGAGGCCTGGGCTCTGGCCATGAGACAGGCTATTTATAGGGCCTCTCCAGTTTGATCACAAGCAGGTAACAGCTCTTGAAGGAGCCTGTTCTGGCCAGACTTGCAGCCACGCGTCAGAGTGGGCAAAGGTCCCTTGTGCTTTCTTCTCTGGAGACTTCACTTTGGTTTCCCCTTCCCCTGACCCCCACCCAAGCCAACCAGAATAAAAGCTCACTCTGCCTAAGGCAGACACGGGTCTGTGGGTAAATCTCATATCTTTTATTAGACCAACTCAAATAGTTGGAAAAATTCTTTGCAAGCTTTCAGGTTGCAAAGAAGGATTTCTCCAACTATTTAATTGGTCTACTAAAAGATATGAGATTTACCCAAAGACCCGTGTCTGCCTATGTCTTTAGACCAGCACAGCTACAACCTATACCCCTATACTAAGCCTAACGCATCACATCCCCAGCTCAGGCCCAGTGTGGCAAAGGAGAACAACTCACTTCTGCAGCCAGCTAAGAGAGCTACTACCTTGCTTCAAGCAGTCACAATTTGCATTGCGGGACTGAGGTTCCCCGGCTCTCACCCTGACGGTGGTGGTGGTGGAGGGTAGGCGGGGATCAGTAAAGCATTTAATTGCTTTTGGGGCACATAACTCAGGAACGTGGGCAAACACCACAAACTGGCACCTAGTATTTGCCGACACCACAAATTGGCATAGCCCTGCCCCTTGAATATTATGAATCGCTTTGCCTTGCTGATAAGCCTGACCCCAATGGCTGGATGCAGGCCACAGGACCTACCCAGACCGAAGAGCTTCTCCTAAAACACACAATAACGATGGGATGGCAGCTTATCCGCAGCTGGTGCCTCGAGTCTGCTTACCAGAGTCTATTTAGCTTCCAAACATAACAGGATCCTGAGCAAGGGGACTCACGGAGTGGCAACGCTTGACTCCCAACCTGTGAGTGGCATTTCAGAGGCCAGGCCGGCGCCATCACCAGCGCCAGGAAATTTCTCACATGTCTCTTTGATTTATAACTCTAGTTAATTCTCCAGGAGGCCTGTGAGCTGCCCTCAGCACACGAAACCTCGGAGGGATAAATAATTTAACAGGTGGTTAAATATTCTTTAAGGTCTAGAGAACATCGGCAGGAGCACCGATTTCAGGGATAACATGAAATTACAAATTGAGCACAAGAAAGAGGCAAGACGGATGCCGTGCCAAGCATGCCTGTCGCTGCCTGATCATTATGAATAAGCCCAAAGAGGCTGCCAGCACGGGGCCAGCTTGTTTCCTTGCTCGTCCCTTGCATGCTTTCTTGGGACTTCCAGCCTGGCAGTTGATAGAGGAGATGACAGACTCGCTCACCCAGGTTGTTTTTAAACCTTTATGTCCTTCACTGGAGAGTGTGAGGCAGTTTAAGGGTCCACAGGGGCCAGGACGCTGCACAGAATGGACCCGCTTGCCTGTGGGCACTGCCGGATGTGAAGCTCACGTGCCACTGATGTGCAAGAGGGGGCACTCGCTCGGCCAGATGTGCTGAGAGGGTGCTCACAATGCTACCTTCAGAAGGGCTCTTTCTGCCAGCAGACAGGTCCAGATGTGGAGTACACATGTGGCAGGCAGCTTCAGGAGCCACAGGGTTGGCGGTATGGAGCGTGCACCACCCCTTCGCCCATTCCAGGTGCCCCTTACATGATCAAACGCTGCAAGCTCTGTTGCTGTAGCACCCAGCCACTGCAAAGGCTGAGATGAATGCCCTTGGAGCCACGTGTATATAAACCCATTCCCTCCCTGCAAGGCATCTAATCCTACCCTGCTCTACCTTCTGCCACCCACTCCTGACTGGCACTTCCTCTGCTATTTCAGTCCTGGGCCTTGCTCACACAGGTCTGCCAGGCACCACAAACTTGACCCACAGTCTCTCCCCCTCCATGGGTCAGCCAGACTATAGTCTGCTCCAACCCTCCCACTTCCCACCATGGACTAGCCTGATATGCAGCACCCCAAGGCTGCTTCTGTCTCTTTACGGAGACACCAGTAACGGCACCAAAGCAAGTGGTGGGCGTTGGGATGTGGGTGCCAGGACTGTGCTGAGAGACCATCAAGCCCATCTGCCCTGCAGCCAAAAAGCAGGACCCAATGCCACAGTGACTCCCTTCCTAGTGGGTCGGAGAATGACCCATCCAGGCCTCAGGCGGTCTCCCCGGTCTCAGGACAGGCTCCCATACTTCTTCCCCACAGAAAGCTTTTACCATTTCCTGTAGCAGCCCTAGCACTATGGTTTGGAAGCAGATAATTGGCTTTAGCCCTGAACATTTGCAAGGATATTCATACCTACTGAGCCATCGCATTGCCTTCCAATCATTATAATTATGCAGTAAATATTGCCCTCTCCCTGCTGGACTACAGAGCTGCACAGACCAATAACCCACAGTGGTACAAAAACCGTACCTCATCGAGAAGGTCCCTAACAACAATCATATCATCATTACCTGTCTGCATTCATAGGCTAACACACATCAACCCCACGCTTCTCATACCTAGCGCTTTTGAAAACCCGTTCCCCCGGACGTGCTCTTCCCAGAGGAGATAAAGGCGGAACAAAAAAGAGAGGACAGAGAATGACCAGGGGGTGAGTCAGTAGGGTTGGGTCTCAGTGTGTCAGGCTAAATAAGGCCCCACACAACATGCTCTGAATGAAGTGGGGCTAAAGGGATAACGGAAGGAGGGTGAGATGGATGGAGAGAAAGGCTAGGCTCTAAGGCTGAGGGGACATAGGTAAGCAGAGCTGTCTCCTCTTTGAAGAGGCTGGTAACCCCACACAACTGTCACGGGATAAAGTTTTGGCTCTTTCTGCTTTGGTTGCAACACTGACACTCAGAAGCTCCCTTGGCCCCCCAAAAACCACTCCTTGCTGCCTGTTGTCTCCAGCTTGCTGCATTTCCAAGGCTGCCTGCTGGGAGGACTGGGCTTTCTGAATGAGGTCTTCCTGCTGCTGGGAGATTATTGAGGCATTTACTTGCTGCAGCGGAAGGGAGCGTGTAACTTTGTGAAGAGGAGACTGAGTGGCTTGCGAGGCCACCGCTTATGCCAGACCACACGACACTTCGATGAAGATACAGGGAGAAGGCTCAGTTCAGAAAACCCTGGTGTCGCGACTGCAAGCTGATGAAAGGGTATTGGAGGAGAGGATAGAAAAGGAGGAGGTGGTTGAAAACAAAGGGCAGTGGCTTCACATTGCTACTGGCTTGGGCAAAGATCCTGCTGAGGTCACTTGCTTTTGCAATGGCAGCCAGATTGGGTCCTGCATCAAGGGCTGCTAGGGATGTGGAAAAGGGTGGCTGTGTGCCAGGGAGGGATAGGGAGGGATCTCCTGCCTGGTGGCTTAATCAAACACCAGGTCTAGACCCTGTCAATGGGAAACAGGACTTCCCACCAAGCCAAGTGGTCGAAGGCAAGCAGCTGCTTCCTGTAAAAACAACAAGTTTAATTTTTCACCTAGCGATGCAGGAAAAGACAGGATTGTCACATGCACAGCAGCCCAGCCCAGGGGACAGCCCGCGGCTCTGCTACCAGATGGACCATGCCCAGGGTTTTGGCAGCTGCTTTCAGGCAGGACAGTTTCTGCGTCCGTGTTAGCACAGGGTGCCAGGACCCATTGAGAGAGGAGGTGATGCCAGCGCCCACTTCCCGCTGCAGCCGAAATCACACCCCAGAACATCACCGCTCCAGGAGCCATGCAGAAAGGCTCAGCATGGCCACACACCAGTCTCCATTTTCAACCTCAGGCAGCTCTCAAGAGACAGCAGCCACTGCCTGGATGTTAATGAGAAGATGAGACACTGCACCAGCATCTTATACCCTGGGTAAGGCGTTGGTGGTGGCTGTGGATGGGCTCATTAATTTAACACATGGTTAAATAGTTGGGGAAGCAGGCAGAACAAATAAAGCCTGTTTCATTAGACTGGCAGGGGGAGGGGACAATAAAGCAGTGGGGTAGTTTCACTGGCGCCGTGTGCAGCTCAGATATCAGTTTGGCAGCACCCCAGGCTCTCGGAGTTTATTAAAAATTTAACAAAGAGTGGGGATTAAGAGATAATTGTGCTGCAGCCTCCCGTCCTTACTCCTTACCCAAATGCTGGCAGTGACCCCGAGTGATGCACAGAGTTAACTCTGTGCAGCCCAGAAAGGGAGCCTGGCCTCCAGCTTGGCATTTTTTGCCATGCGGGCTCCTGTGAAAGTCGCTTCAGTGATTCCAGCCGACTGGTTCCAGTTTGGCGTGGGTGCCCCTGACTGCAAAACCTGCCTCCATAACAGACTGATCAGCCCCACATCCCATTAGGAGGCACTGGTTACACTTCAAAAAGGTTAAGATAGCTCGGCTTACTCAATGTTGCAGGCAGCTTGCCACCCACGAGACACAAGTTGGGTGGGTGCAGGTCTCTGGGGAGAGGGGGTCTAGGGTATGGGCTGAGCAGCCCTCAGGGAGGAACCCCAGATGCAGCTAAAACTGAGGAGCAGGTATGATGCCACTCATGCCTCATCTGGAGTCCCACTTTTGGGGTTGCTGGAGCTTTCACTTCTGCCAGACCGTGGGTAACCTAATGCCTTTGTAAACCCTAAATCTAGAGACTCTGCAAGCATCCCTACCAGGATGCACACCTTTATGATGGACCTTTGGCTGAAATCCAATGGGACTTTCCATTACAGCTTATTATTTGTATTGCCAGGGCACCCTCTGCAAGGGGTTGGGACCCTACTGTCTTAGAAGCTGTAGAAACGCAAAAGAAAGAGACGGCCCTTGCTTGAAGCAACATCCATTTGAACTGCAGTTGGAGCCTAAGTCCCTTAGGGCACTTGGTAGACATCCAAGCACCATTATGTTCTCAAATCTCACCAAATAGAGTTGGTTGTCAGGTCCATGGACTAAAAGTGAGGCAGGTGACTGGGCTTTCCAGCAATGGAGGAGGAGGCAGGAAGCTCAAGCCATTTTCCCTAACGTATTCCTCCAGGCCTAGTCGTCCACCAATGCCAATGGCCAAAGCTCTGGGCTCTTTCACGTCCAAATGAGAAGCCTGCTGTGGTTGAAAGTTAATTGCATTTAGCTCAACACCTCCTCCCCAGCCTGGGCTGTACCACAAAACACTTAGGATCACTTATGGTTTTATTCTCGTTTTTCATTAAGCAACATAGGCGACTGTGGCATAGATGCCTACACAGTCAGATGGATTGCAGATTGGCTGAAGGGTCGCACTCAGAGGGTGGTGGTGGATGGGTCATACTCGACCTGGGGGGAGGTGGGTAGCGGAGTCCCCCAGGGCTCGGTCCTGGGGCCTGCGCTGTTCAATTTCTTCATCAGCGATCTAGATGATGG